TATATATATATATATTTTTATATATATATATATATATATATATATATTACAAGAAATGAATTAACAGTAAAAATTATTAACAGTAAAAATGAATTAACAGTAAAAATTAATTAACTTTACCTCCCAATCTGGTTTTCTTAGTCTCTCATTTTCTTTTTGCAGAGTCAATCATGGTTAATGGTTTCATCCATGCAGGGACATTCTATGCAAATATGGGTATATATACATAAATTTTATATATGGAAAAACACTACAGCTATATCTCCCTATTTTATTTGAGTATCATGCTGTGCACAGTATTTCATGATTTGTACCTTTTATTTAATGATAACTCTTTTTCTTTTTTTATTAAATTATTTATTTATTCTAATTTGTTTTACACAATGGCAGAATGCAATTCATTTCATATTACACATATAGAGCACAAATTTTCAATTCACTGATTTTACACAAAGTATTTTCACACCATTCGTGTCTTCATACATGTACTTAGGGTAATGATGTCTAACTCACTCCACCATCATTCCTCGCCCCCTAACTCCCTCCCTTCTCCACCCACTTTGCCCTATCTAAAGTTCCTCCATTCCTCCTATGTTTCCCTCCCACCATCATTGTTATTAAGTGTCAGCATCCTCATATCAAAGAAAATATTTGGCCTTTTTTTGGGGGGGATTAGCTTATTTCACTTGGCATTGTATTCTCCAACTCCATCCATTTACCTGCAAGTGCCATGATTTTATTCTCTTTTAATGCTAAGTAATGCTCCATTGTGTGTATATACCAAAGTTTCCCTATTCTTTCATCTAGCTATTGTGAATTGTGCTGCTATAAACATTGATATATGCTGTTTTTAAGTCCTTTGGGTATAAAACAAGGAATGGGATAGCTGGGTCAAATGGTGGTTCCATTGTCAGATTTCCAAGGAATCTCCATACTGCTTTCCAGATTGGCTGCACCAATTTGCAGTCCCACCAGCAATGTATGAATGTGCCTTTTCCCCCACATCCTCACCAACACTTATTGTTTGTATTTTTGATAGCTGCCATTTAATGATAACTCTTAAAGACCTCTCCATATCAGCATCTGTGATCTGTTTCCACTTTTTAAAACAGCTTCTGAGATTAACCATCACAGTTTCCTTGTATTTTGTCAAATGGATATAACCATTTTGTATTTTCTTAATTTTTTTATTATTGATTTTATCTTTTTAAATACATAATAGTGGAATGCATTACAATTCTTATTACACATATAGAACACAATTTTTCATATCTCTGTTTGTATACAAAGTATGTTCACACCAATTAATGTCTTCACACATGTACTTTGGATGATGATGTCTATCACATTCAATCATCATTGCTAACCCCCTGCCTCCTACCTTCCCCTCTCACCCCTCTGTTGTATGTGCCAGTCACATGTGGATGGACATTTTCTGTTTCATTGAGCATCATTGTATGTGGCTTATATGTAGGCACAAATATTCTATATCTATAAGTACACATTCTTGGAAGTGTTAAGTAACAGACAGACATGAATACTGGGAGCATGAGGTTAAGGGAATAACTATAAACTGGGCATACTGTGTTGACTCCCACATGCTTTCTTTTTTAAATATTTATTTATTTATTTTAGTTTTAGGTGGACACAATATCTTCATTTTATTTTTATATGGTGCTGAGGATTGAACCCAGTGCCTCACGCATGCTAGGTGAGCGCTCTACCACTGAGCCCCAGCCCCAGCCTCACATGCTTTCTTTTAAAGAGTAATTTATCTGTGACTCTCCCTGGCCTAAGTCAATAGTATATGCTACATATCATCAGCAAACAACCTGTTACCTGCAGGAGAAATGCAAGAGGATTCTCCCTGTGGATTAAAACACACACACACACACACACACACACAACCCTGAAGGGGGAACTTTTGTGAACTTTACACAGACCAGATTCCAGGACTCAAGGAGACAGGATAATTGAAAGCAAAGCCCTATACCCATAAAATCTGTAAGAACAAGTTCCAATTAGAACAGGTCAGCCTGGGGAAAGGTGACCCAGTGTTGTTATACATCTTTAATGTGTCATTATAATAGCAAAGTCTTCCCTCCATTGGGGTAAGACTATGAAGTGTTAGAGTTGAGTGGGACTCTCTGGAAACTTCCCTGGGACCCCCAATAAAACTGGAGTTCTAGAGGAGCGTACTATCTCTTTCCTCTCTGAGAGGACCCACTTTTCCCCTTGAGAGTGTCCCATTTTTCCCTTTTCCTGTTCCTTCTAATAAAATGTTGCCTCCTTCTCAGAGTGACATGTTAAAATCCTTTCAGTATGCTCAAAAGAACCAGTGAACAAGGACATTTGTGGCCACTTCATCTCTGCAGATGTCCTTGCTCTGCAACAGAAGTAGAATTCTTGACCAAGGGTACATTTATTTTTTAGTTTGATAGACATTGCCCTATTGTCTTTGAAAAAACTTGTATAGTTTTCCCAATTATATACAAAAGGGTGTTTCTTTATATCTAGCTCTTCTGCTGTATTATTGAATTTTGAACTTGCCAGTCTGATAATTGTAAATTCAAGGCTGTGTTAGACCTGAGTCTGAAAATGATGGGCAGGAAAAGAGGAGCAAGGAGGACACATAAAGGGTAAAAAAATGAATAAATATTCCCAGTATGAGATTCTATTTTTTTAAAAAAAGATCTCACAAGTTCCCTGGAATAAGGCATGTACTTGAATTTTGAAAGTTACTTAAGCAGCCAGCTAGATTTGCAGGTCAGGATTTATAACCCTTCCTTTTAGGGCCTTGAGAAACAGTACCAAGGTTCTGACCTTAAACTAAAATTCCTAAAACTCTTAGTACCTGAAATCATGCACCCAACATTCCTCCCCAGCATGCACTTGATTAGTCACAAGGAGCCATCATTAATGCCTGCTCTGGAAGGAAGCACAGCATGGAGAATTTAGCAAGTTCTGAGACGGAGAGACCAGCGTAGACAGCAAAGCACCATCTCTGGGCAGATTAGCCTTGAAGGATGTCAAGATCCAGATCTTTCAGTGTCATTTCAGTGATCTCAACAGGAACTTGGTGTTTGTCACTATTCCAGGTAACCCTCTTTCTTTCCAGGAGACTTTCTAAAATACTCTGAGGATTTGACCTGCTACAGATATGTTCTTTGGGCATTGTAACTACATTTTTAAAATAATTCCTTTAAGAAGGTGTCACCAGCATCTTACAACTTATTTGTTGGCTGAAGATATGGCAAATAAAACATCCAGGGCATTCGGTTGACATCTTCTTTATTTAGTTCTATTCATATGATTGAAATAATACGATGCACATTTAACCTTTACTTCACTTTGCTATGCTGTGAAATTTTCAAAACATCAAAAATATTGTTGAAACAGAGAAAGGTATCATGGCTAGATTAATTTAAGAATGTTGCTTTTTGCCTGCAACCATACTTGATTCTCAACAGTTTTTAAACGCTGACTGTTGTAGAAAGAAGCATTTTAGGATTTATTTTGGTTCCCCCACTCCAGCATCCTTTTCTGACCAATAACTGCATCTTTGTATCTGTGTTACCTGAAACCAACATATCTGAAAGACTTAGATCTAAAGCATATTAAAACTTCCCTCACCATTTCAAAATAACATGGGAGTCTGACAGCTAATGCTTTGGCAGTGAGGTGGTAATAATGAAATACCATATATACTCAGGTACAGCATGCAGAGAAGATTGGGAAGTGACTTGAAATGCTGGCTTTATTTGTTTATCTGTTAAGCTAGATCCCAAATGATTTCATTTACTCATAAATAAACTTTCTTTATGGACAAAATTTGAGTGTTCATTTTCCTCTCAGTTAGTATGCAAATCTATTTGCAGCAATCTAGCAAAAGAAAATGCAACTCATTTTCTGTGCTTATAAATTGTTCATTATCATGCTCTCTGATGACCAATTCATGACTCCATCTGCAACTCCACAAATCTCTTTACCCAGATAAACTTGGTGGTGTACATACAAGGTGCTGAAGAAGAAAAATTTGGAATTAAGGGAGAAAATTCATATCTCATACAAAATTCCTAGGTCAATCATTTAAAGTTTGTAAGTTTTTACCTGTACATATATGCAACAGTCCAGTGAAATAAATGCTTCCACTGACCTATTTGGGCTGAGTTTTATAGCTACGTTTAAGTGACATCTCAAGGCTTTTTTATTGTACACAGAAAGAGTTCCAATTCTTAGGAAAAAACAAACACACAAAGTCTTTAGAAAGAAATAGTTTCTTTCCTTGTAATTGTGGGTGTTATTATAACCTGTAAGGTTCAACACAGAGAACTAAGATAATTGTGATGGAATGCTTAGGGGTTTGGGTCTTCTAAAGGTTATTATTACCTTCCCTCTTTTTTGATAAAGATTGTAAATCTCAGCAGGAATTTCATATGATCTTAAGTGGACCTCAGCCTTAGAGCTGTTAAAGTCACCCCTTCATGCATACATTTAACACCCATTAATGCAAATAGGTTTGACTTATGTTTCCTCATACTGGGAACTTGCTTCCTTTGCATGAAAATACTACTCACAACTAATGAACTCTTTCCTCTGCCTTGAATGCAAAAATACACAGAAAAAATGCAAGGCATACAAAAGCTCTTTAGAGCAAGCAAAATCTGCCTATAGAGAAAACAAAAAACTCTTTACAAATACATCTATAGTGTATGTAGGATAAGAATCTAGTTTGCAATACACATCTCCTGTCACTGCTGAATTTAAAAATCTACCTAGAGAATTTTTGTTGTTGTTTTTTTATGATGGTGCTGGGGATCAAACCCAGTGCCTCATATTCTAGGCAGGCTCTGTACCATTGAGCTACACCTCCAGCCCCCAGAGAAATTTTTTCAATTAAAACTCTGTACACCAACAATAAACTATGCAACAGAGCTTTTAATTAAAAAAAAAAAAAGAAGAAGAAGAAGAACAAAAGAAAGATATAAACCCGCATTGTCTCTAGGCACTGCTCGTATTAAAGGATTAGACTGATGAGATGTTGGATTTTATTGTTCTAAACATGTGTTTCAGTTGGTGCTTTCGAATCTGCCATGCGAAGAAAATGAAATGTAAGTAAATAGCAATAGATTCCTTGTTTTTATTTAGCATTTTAAAAATTCAAACAATCAAAAAGGATAAAGTCAATTATAAAGCCCCCAAAGAGTTTCAAGTGATGGTGATAATCACATAAGAAAAACACTAATAGTTTTTAAATGCAGATGGCTTAATTTTTCTAAAACCAAGAGATAATAATTTTCTTAAGATCGTTATTAAATAAAGAAGGGGCCTGGTTTATTTCTAGATATTTTTGGTCACTGACTTCCCCTTCCTTTAAGCATCCAGGGTGCTGTAAGTGCATGAGAGAATCATCACGATGTCACCTCCTCCGCAGCTGCATTCACATGCATAGGTCACAGCAATGATGGGTGGCAATTTACCGGACAACAAACAAACCCAAATTCTAACTTGTATTATGTGTACATTTCAAAGTGATTCTGATATGAATTATGTGAATAATTGACTCGCTTTTCTCACTTTTTGTGCTGTGGATTTAATGGTTCCCAGAATTCTATTCGGGAGATGGGGAGAAGGTGCCATTAATAATGCTGATGATGATTCATGATAACTATAATGCACTGTGACTTAGTGCAAGTGTCAGAAAAGCACTCCTGCCAAGTGCTGTCTTCTGGTTGCTACACTCTCTGCCAGCCAGCTGCTTTCAATTATCATTGTCTATTTCCCTCAAAGCCAAGGTCTATGGACACTGGCTCTAAAGTAAGAGTCCGGGCCAAATGGGGCTTTCCTGGGCTCTGGAGTCATTCGCCTGTCTCTGGAGGATCATCTTCTTGTTAACAATCTACTTATTAAGTGTATGCCCCCTTTTAGTGTTTGCATCAACCTTCATTGCTGTTTCTTTTCATTTATTTTCAGACCTGCCATTTTGTTCTATCTCTTGCTGTTTGTGACATGATAATTTTTGATTATAGGCTTTCCTGACTCTGGATTTCATAGCTACACTCATCCTGCCTCATGGTTTTCTGCCTTTGACTCAGAAAAATAGAATACAGAATTTCATAATTGGAAAATATCTTAAGTGTCAATTCTAATTCTCTGATCAACATGACAGGGAAACATGGCATTGAGGAACAATTTATATTTACTTTTGAGCCTCTGAGGCTACAGGTCTCCTTTTTAGGGGAAGAAATTGAGATCCAGACAGATAGTAAATTAACAAGAGGACTTCAACTGATATTGGGTATGACCTTTTATTGGCTACATTTAAGTTTTACATCTAAACTTTTACATCTAATTTTCCATTATATTATCATTATTTCCCTTTTGAGTGAAAACTAGAAACTGCCTTTTTATGATTAGGATTGAGGTGTCCTCCAAAAGCTCACGTGTGAGACAATGCAAGAAGTTTTGGAGGAGAACTGATTGGGTTATAGCCAATAAATCAGTAAATTAATCCCCTGATGGGGATTAACTGAATGGTAACTGAAGTGGTAGGGTGTAGCTGGAGGAAGTGATTCATTGTGGCTTTCCGGTATATATTCTGTATCTGGTGAGTGGAACTCTCTCTCTCTGCTTTCTGATCATCATGTGAGCTGCTTCCCTCTGCCACACTCTTCCGCCTTGATGTTCAGCCTCACCTCCAGCCCTGAGGAATGGAGCTGGCCTTCTATGGTATAAAAACTCTGAAACCATGAGCCCTCAAAATAAACTTTTCCTCCTCTATAATTGTGATGGTCAGATTCTTTTAGTCACAGCAATGAAAAAAAGCTGACTAAAATGTGCCTCAAATACATTTCAAATTAGTAGGAAATAAAGACAAGAGAGTAGCTGGAAGAATAGGGAAGTAGTAAGTAAAGGTATTGAAGATAGATACAATCTCTCTTTTTTTATGCAAGATAGTGTTAGTGAGATTAGTCTAAAATGAAAGGTGTGCTGGTTTCTTAAAGAGTAGAAGTTCCACATCCAAACAGGATTCACTTTCTCTACCTATATTTGTCCTAGATATCTTCAATTTAGGATTTCATCTTTGATCTGAGACATTATCTTTGTTAAAATCCATTACCTGTCCAAGAGAGTATACATTCATCCTTTATCAAACTATAAGAGAGTAACACAAACCCACTAGATTACAGGTAAAAGGAAGCATAGAGATGGCCCTCTCCACATGTCCTTTTGAAATGAGAAACATAAAAGAAGAGTAACTTGCCCAAAGTTCACACACAAAATGGACACAAAAATCAGAGATGGATCAGAATGCAAGGGAGTAGAAGAGCAGAAAGAAAATGGAATGAGGGCTATTCTGATAGAGGCCATGTTTGAGTGAGAAAGGATCTCTGAATAGCCAGAAATAACTTTGTTTTTCATTAATTAACTTCTTGATCCAAATATTTGCAAAATAATTCATATATGTGTGTGTGTGTATATATATATATATACATATATATATTTATATACTCAATGTTTAAAATTTTTGATCTATTATTAGTTCTATTTAAATTTGTTTTAAAACACTAGGCTTTTAATTTTGTGATATGACCTACTCATTTTATTTTTATAACTGAATTTTTAGTAGCAACAATGCATTGCTTCACTTTACATAAAATTTAAGTGTTAATTTATTGTATGAAATCAAATGTGATAGAGCCCCCTCTATCTCTTTAACCCATTCCTCTCCCCATAAATAAATAATTACACTGATTTGCATGTATGTAGATAGTGATTTATAAAACATATATTATATATATAAAGTATTATGTAAATTAATTTTGTTAATAAATTTCCTAATGACATGCTACCATCTCACTTGGCCAGTGAGGGTAAATATTTAGTTCAAGAGCAAGGAATCAAAGAAGAGGTAGAGTTTAGATGGAGACCCAGAACTGACTCTAAATTCTGAACCCAGATGTTTAACCACAAAGTCATATTGTACATCTGACATTTAATCACTATAAAATTGGTGAAATGCCTGAGGAACATATAGCCTATTCAGTTTCCTAGATACTATGCAATTTACCACCAATTTCTGGATGACATGACTTACTACCCATCCTTCCCACATGTTTGTGAGCATGAATTGTACATTGGCCTAATTGGAGGAGTAGTTTTATTTAAAAAGAAAAAAAAATCGTGAAATTTGTTATTTTATTTATCCTAAGACTATGGAAACACTGTTCCTATTATTAACAATGGTCTCTTTATGAAGTCCCATGGTTTGAATTTTTCTCTGGTTTCTATAGGAAGAATAGTTTTACATCTGATGAATAATGTTGTTTGTTTTGTTCATTTTAAAGGACAGTATATACCAATTCTCTCTCATCTTATTAACTGCTAGAAAGCTTAAGCCAGATCTGGAGTTCAGTTCTTTTATAAATGGGACTTGTTACATTTGGTTTACAAATTGATCTCATTCTTGTCTTATTCTCTGTGCCTGATACTCTCCATGCTCTCACTTGTAAATTTTTTCATTTTTGTATTTTCAGTATTTCCTGAAAGCATTTTGGAACACAGGATATTGGATGCATTCAGCTAACACTCCATAGAATGTAGAGCTGAGTTTTAGTGCTCCCAGTTGCAGTATTGCATGGTGGTAATGGACATGGCTCCACAGTCAGACCATTTGTGTTTAAAACCTCTGCCACTTCCAGTAATGCTAATTTTAACCTCCCCGCGATTGAGTTTTCTGAATTATAAAAAGAAGATTATAATAGTGTGGGCCTCACTTATAGTGCTGTAAGTTCTAAAGTGAATTACTTGACATGACCTAATATACCTGGTTTGGAAGAATGCCTGCCATAGAAAATGCTGGGTCATTGTAGAGAGGAGCAAATGGAGCAGATCTGCAGTTTTCTTCCTGAATTAATGTAATTAATGAATTTAAAATTTTAGTTGCATGGATTCTCAGCACTGAGAAGACCAACTAGTCTAACCATCCATATAGAGCAGGAATCATTTCCAGAGGATCCAAGTAAAGAAGGGCCCTTGTTCTGGTAGAAACTGAAATTATCTCTATCATCTACTTCTAGAAGATTCTGATTATTTCAAATGTCTTCCTTAAACATTCCTTTCTGCTCTCATTTCTCCCTGATAGCTATCTTGTTTTCTTTTTAACATCAGCATCCTAATTTGAGCAACACCTGAATAATAACTTCATTTTTTAAAAAATATAAACTTTGTACTCTAAAGATCTTGCATTTAAAATTTGAGCAATTGGAATGCTGTTACAGTTCAGAAATTATTTTTTTAAGAATTCAAAATGTTTTTGTTGAAGAATTGAATTTGAGAAAGAAATGGGAATAATGGTGAGAAAGAAGGAGCCAGAAGACACATATTCTATGTTAAGTTCCAGCTAGTGACCTCCCACTTTCATTCCTTATTCTGGATCCCAGGTGTACAGTGAATAAAATCCTTAGAGTGAGATACATGTCAGAATTTTTGGAATTACATGATAGATGTCAGAATTTTTGGAATTACTTGACAACTCCATTCTCCAGCTAAGTTCTTTTTGGCCATTTTATTACTTGTAAGAACAACCACCAGAGGGTGCACAGGGCTAGTAAAGAGAAAGTGAAATAAGTCAAGTTTGGGTTATTGCTAGCACTGAAAACAATCATGAGTGGCTAATAAATAAGAATTATGAAATAAAATGAGGCACTCAATTTTTAGCCTTGACTTAAAGTTATATGGGATGATTCTAAATGTAAAAATAGAGGAGATTTATATATGCATGAAGATGAGATAATCCATTCCAAGCTTTGATCTTAGAAGTCAAGATCTACAAACAAGAAACTTCAGCTTTTTTATTTGATCAGGACACCATGGAAATTTACCTATATTCATCTCTTGAGTTGGATACTATATTTTGAAGAATTTTATATTTTAATGTAATATTTTAATACTTTCTGATGACAAAAGTAATGCCTATATAAATATTCAAACAATATGAAAATATTAAAAGGAAAATGTTCTTTATTATACAATCTTCAAGAGAAGCCTTGATGGTACAATGATGGAATATTTTATATTTAACTAATAGCTATTTTTGCTGGAATCATTGTATTTGTCTAAAAGAATATATACAGTATAGGGCTGAGCTCTCTAAATTGTTTTTCTTACCAAAACTTTTAATTATAAATAAAAGTCTATATTTTTCTCTATGACAAGATAATATTCTCTTAAATGATGTGTCATTAATTATTGTTACCATCCTTTACTAATGATCACTTATCCTGAGATACCTTTGAAAGTTATACTTCAGTTGCCTTTTGGGGGGGATTGGGGGAGTACCAGAAATTGAATTCAGAGGCACTTGACCACTAAGCCACATCTCCAGCCCTATTTTGTATTTTATTTAGAGACGGGGTCTCACTGATTTGCTTAGTGCTTTGCTTTTGCTGAAGCTGGCTTTGAATTTGATGTCCTCCTGTCTCAGCCTCTCAAACCACTGGGATTGCAGGCATGCACCACTGTGCCCAGCTTCAGTTGCAATTCTTAAATCAGCATTTGTACATATGAACTTTCCTAAACTCTTTAGGTGCTTTAAACAAACTAACTAACTAACCAAAGAAACAAAAATAAGCAAATAAAAACTTTAGTGTCTGGGTAATTGACTTATCTTCAATGTTAAGGCAAAATTTCTAAGTCAAGAAGTATTAGAAAGTCACTTCTAACTAGTATAATGATGAATGTGAAAGCAATAAATTAATGGATGCTTATGAGCACTTTCAAGCTGAGAAGCACTAAGTATTATTTTAACAGTGGCTGAAAAAGCATGATTAAGGATGGCTCCATCTCAGAAGCTTATCAGGTTGTGATGAACAGGTTTCCCCTGTTCACTCTCAAGACACTTTAGAAGTGGCCATACATGAAGTCTGGAAAGAAGTCCTTATGCAAACATACCCTCTGCACCAGGTCAGGTATATGAGGGACTGAGATGAACAACACATATATCTCTACTTCTGAGAGTCAAACCCATGTGAAATTTGTTTTTGTGTGATCTTTTCAAACTTACCTCAAGAATGATTGAGTTTTGCCTCAACGCACAAACGATCTCACCCCTCCAACTGAAGAAGTCAACTCCTCTTCTTGGTGAATGATAAACATGTGGCCACATTCATTTTCTTTCTAGCCTAACTTCTTTCTTTACCAATTGTTGAACTAGAAAGCAACCAATTTTCCAATGCTTGCTACTCTACCAAGATATTAAAGTTTAACAGAAATTATAAACCTTCCCTGGAGAATTTGGAAAGTAAAGGACTCTAGATACCTGGATCAACAGAAGGGTGATATGATTACTTGCCTAATACAGATGACGCATTGGCCCTAAAAAGTTAGTCATGACCTTCTTGTTGCACAATAGTATTTTTTAACTCTAGAATCAAACATATTTCAGGGCAGTCATCTGTTTGTATGTCTAGCAGATTCAAACCGTTCCATCTTTTCAGTGCCTTGGCGTGGACACAGTGTAACTTACACACTTAATTTTGCTGGGAGTAGGTTGTGGGGCAGGCGTTGTGGTGGCGGTAAACAAACAATTGTTCTGGGGAAACAGATATGGGGATGTGGTGAGTAAAAATTTTATGGCCCCAGAGACATAGGCTTTAGCCAGCTAGAATTCTAGCACTTACTGCTTTTCTTTTATCACCAGGTGTCTAAATTATACTGATCAACACCCTAATGACTGGTACATCTGGTAAGGATATTCTCAATTTGTTTTATAAAACATTTGGTGAAATATGCATATCATTTTCCTAAATAATTTTAGACAGCACAAGAAATAACACAGCCTAAGGAAATTTAGGGGTCATGTACATCAATATCTATAGAAACATCATTTCCAGATGGTTGGCCAGTGTTTACTTATACATTTTCTGTGACAGTGAACTTACTATTTTTAATAATGTATTTCTGAGATGGAGATTTTTAGTGGTAAATTGTTTTTTTTTTTCCACTTGAAATTTTTCTAAATGACTCTACAAATTTTACTTTTGGTAATAAAAGCAATAAAAATAAGCAGCTGCCTCTTTTATGAGATAGTTCATCAGATATTTTAAGATAGTTGATACACTTCTTAAATCTTGATATCTATAACTTCCAAATTTCATATTATCAGTTCTATTAGATGATTAGCTCTGAAACATGGAGACCTTATCTTTTTTACCTATGAATTCCCTAACCCTAACATCACTTACTAAAAATATTAGTTGAATGAATATATGGAAGTCTGGAATGACTAGATAATGTTCCCTTAAATGATGTGTCATTACTTATTGTCATTAATGAATGTATGGAAGAATTAACTAGTTCAATAAATAAGGAACCAAGACACTGCTTTTTAGAATACTCCTTCATTTTCCAAGGATGAAGTATTAATCACCACGTGGTAAGATCAAGCCTCTCTGAGGGCAGACAATATTCCAGGCCTGTGGCAATTATGGTGGGGGTAGATTGCTTAAAGGATTCCAACACCCAGTCTAGCTGAGTCCCTGACCATTTTTCAGGTAGTAACAGGAAGTCTTTGCTTGCTCTACCTCACTCCTCTCTGGCTGCTTTTGACCTCAGGTTCCTACTGCTGATTTTCTTGGTGTCTCTTCTCTGTGGAGTGGTGCTTTTCTGTCTCCAGTGCTGGCTGAAGAGATCCCGAATGGATTCCCCAAGACGCACCATGGCTGTTTTTGCTGTTGGAGATTTGGATTCCATTTGTGGTGAGTTGACACAGAGTTCTGGAACTTCTCTGTGAAGCCTTGAAAAGCTATCATCTGCCAAGTGAATCAGTGAACTTAGAATGGCAAATGGCTTATGGTATAGCCAAAGGCATGCTTTGAGAAGAGTTTAAGTGAGAAAAAATCAGAAAGAAAGAAAGCCCATAAGAAAGAGAATATATCTTAGGAAACTGACTCACAGTTGAGTATGAGATAGAATCTAAAGTGCAGAAGAATATTCTTGAGTTTTTGACATCAGTCTATCCAACTTGTATTCATAGTCTTGGTTACTTAGCTATGACTCACTTAACCCATCTGAAGTAGCACTAAACCACATTTTCCAGATGGTCTACTGCCAACGCATAGTGTGAAATCATTGTGACTGGACAGGGGAGTGCCAATCCATATGCCCTTTCTCTCCAGACACACTGACAGCATCCTGATGCTGCCTATACTCAATCCCCACCCCCCAAAACATGTTCCTCCCTCATTTCCCAATTCGCACGAGGAGGTAAGAAATGAAGAAATTAGAAATCTTAGAATTGTGCATAGCTTCCAACCCTAGCAATAAATAGGAAAACAATCAAACGAACAAAAGAAAAAAACTACCACGGATTTCTGGAAGGCTACAATTGATAATTCCTTTCTTTAATCATTAGCTTATTTCTTCATATTAAGCTTCATCTTCATTCGAACAGTGTTATGAGAATTTCCCTCTTAGGTACTACATCACATGCCACAATTGTCCCAAGAGTGCTTGGTAAAAATAAACTGTTTTAACTTCAAAAGTTACTTTAAAATTTAGTGATTGTTTTTACTATTAACTTTTTCCCACCCAAAAGTCCTTTAACAAGGACAAGACATTATCAGTTCGGGAAATGGTTATTTTGGGAAGGACTGTTAAATTCTCCAGTGATAATACATCTTTCTCTTGAAATTAAAAACACTTTTTATGAAGCAGACAGGGTAATAGGGTTACTGACCTTTTAACAAAATATGTTTGTTAAATATGTCAAAGGGATCTACATGTTAATGTTGGCCTATTTTTCTTCATTAAACTACAGATAGTTAATAAATGGCATTATAATTCTTCCAGCTGAACTTGCATTTCTAAAGAGAGGCACACAATTCTCCATCTTAGCCCTTCTCTCACTTTGAAGAAGAACCTTCCACTAGACTATCTTGAATATTTTTTTAAAAAAAGTTTGTTTCTAATTTTAAGCTACTCAATTATGCTGCTATAATGTCTAAGGTAGTTTATGTTCCTATTTCTCTAATGCTTTTCTAATTTCTGCAACGTGTTTGTTTTGCCTGCTCTTGAACTTGGGTGAACCAGCCAGAATAGGTCCGAGTGTGGGAGAAGGGGTCCAGGCTGATACACTGTCTCAGCCACAAGCACATGATAGTATTGAGTCCTGGGCATTCAGTCACATGCTCCATATTATTCTGAAATCATTATGAACAAGAAAAAAAAATAAACTTGTAAAGAAATTGAATTTTTAAAATAACAATATGGTCACAATTTATTTCACATCTAACAAGTGATAGGTTGAGGGTTTTTTGATATTCTCTGTCTTTGGAAGTTGTTGTTATTTCTCTTAGAGGATTTTATCTACTTTCACACTTCTGAGTTAATATACATAGAATTCTTTGCTGTAAGTCAACTAGTAGACTTCAAACTATCCAGAATTGTGGGTAGAGAGTCTATGAAAATTTAGGCTGGATACTAAGGGCTTAGCCACTTCATCCCTGTACACAAAGTATAGCCGCAGATGCTGAATATCATATATTTTTATGTAGTGACTCCATAACTGTAGGGATTGGATTCTAGTATATTTATTTCTGTCCTCATTCTATCATTTCCTCCCAGTGCCACTGGCACAGCTTCTGGATCATATTTTGCTCATGAATTCTCTTACAAAGCTTTTTTTCTATTGTCAATCTTGGAGACCACAGGCTCAGTTATCTCTTACCATTTATCTTTTCCCTTCCTACAATGAGTTGGATTTCACTTTATCCAACCCACTCCATCCTCTCTGAGTGATATTCAAGATGGCTATGAAGGGGTCTAACAACCATTCACAGTTTTCCTATGAATGTTGCCCCAGAGTTAATGCTTTTGCATTCCTGTTTCTCCTCTCCCAAACAAAATACAAAAGGGTAATTAAGGAAGTGGTGTTCTCTATGATCCCTAGAAGTTTCTTAACAAATTTTGCTGGAAATGAATTCCAGAGAGTTGATATTTTGAGGGAGTCAAAAACCTTAATCCACACAGGATTTACTTGGCTGACTGGATTCTCATCATACCTTCACCTCTCCAGATAAATGATTCTTCCTACCTAATATTTCTGTAAGAAGAAGCTTCTCTCCCAAGGGAAGCTAGAGAGCCTCTCCAGGATCTTCCTGTGGATAGACATTGAGGGCCCAGACCTGTCTCCATAATTTTCACCAAGGAGGTGCTCATAGCTTGAGGCTGAGTCCAGAACCTGAGGGGTTCACATGATCACACACTGAAGTACGGGGCTGTACCTGTGAGTTTTCCTCACAATCACTATTTGAAAGAGGTAGAGAACAATTAGAAATCATTTGAATGACACTGGCGACATACTAGAATATGAAATAGAGGTTATGGCCTTCCTTTTATCTGTTACACACAGATGAAGGCCCAGAATGCTCCCTTCTGAATACAGAATATGAGAAATGGGTCATTTAAAACATTTTAATGGAGATACTAGATTTGATATATGAAAGTTGGGTTCCTCCCAGTCCTTCATTCTATTTCTTCAAAAGTTATTTCACTTTTATATCACGACTTTTTGATCATATTTTTTGAAATGGGTCCGCACATCTGATGTAAGTGTCAAAGGTTTGACTCTCAGGATCTCATGGAAGCTGCCCTCAAATGAGAAGAGTCAAGAGGAGAATTTTGGCTGAATATCAAAGGTTGGAGTTGACTGAACTTTACTAATGTTACAATATATAAAATAGACATTTTATCTCAATAGCAATTCAGGCTAACAGGTTACCAATTATCTTGATTAGAAATACTAAAAAGAGTGCTGGCTTCAGCAGCACATATACTAAAATTGGAGTGATACAGAAAAGATTAACATGGGCAAGGATGACATGCAAACTCTGGAAACATTCCATATTAAAAAATGCTAAAGAGAAGAAAGTAACTACTTGACTTGTTATCCTTATAAAAGGTATTTAAGGAAGGGGTTGCCATGCCATCCCATATCAATGTCTGATGAGATTTCAGGTCTAAAAAATGTCCTTGGGAACTCAGTCAAACACTTTAGAGCCCAAGAACATCCCCTTGTCCAGTAGTAATTATCTCATTTCACAGTATTGTGCTGGTTCAGCACTCAGATAACCATATCTTCCTACCCTTCATAATATCTGTACTCTTAATATCTTAATATTATAATATCTATGCTCTTTTTTTTCAATTCTTTTATAGTTACAGTTTTCTTTTCTCATGATGTATTTCATACTGGGTAGTATTGTGTTTTTTTTTTATCTTTTTTTAAATTTTTTTATTATTAGTTGTTCAAAACATTACAAAGCTCTTGACATATCATATTTCATACATTTGATTCAAGCAGATTATGAACTCCCATTTTTACCCCGTATACATATTGCAGATTCACATCGGTTACACATCCACTTTTTTACATACTGCCATACTAGTGTCTGTTGTATTCTGCTGCCCTTCCTATCCTCTACTATCCTCCCTCCCCTCCCATCTTCTCTCTCTATCCCATCTACTGTAATTTATTTCTCTCTCTTGTTTTTTTTTCCCCCTTTCCCCTCACTTCCTCTTATATGTAATTTTGTATAACAATGAGGGTCTCCTTCCTTTACCATGAAATTTCCCTTCTCTCTCTCTTTCCCTCCCCACTCTCGTCCCTGTTTAATGGTGAACTTCTTCTCATGCTCTTCCTCCCTATTCTGTTCTTTGTTGCTCTCCTTATATCAAAGATGACATTTGGCATTTGTTTTTTAGGAACTGGCTAGCTTCACTTAGCATAATCTGCTCTAGTGCCATCCATTTCCCTGCAAATTCCATGATTTTGTCATTTTTTTAGTGCAGAGTAATACTCCATTGTGTATTAATGCCACATTTTTTTTTATCCATTCATCTATTGAAGGGCATCTAGGTTGGTTCCACAGTCTTGCTACTGTGAATTGTGCTGCTATGAACATTGTTGTAGCATTATCCCTATAGTACGCTCTTGTAAGGTCTTTAGGGAATAGTCCAAGAAGGGGAATAGCTGGATCAAATGGTGGTTCCATTCCCAGCTTTCCCAGGAATCTCCATACTGCTTTCCAAATTGGCCGCACCAATTTGCAGCCCCACCAGCAATGTACAAGTGTACCCTTTTCCCCACATCCTCGCCAGCACTTGTTGTTTGACTTCATAATGGCTGCCAATCTTACTGGAGTGAGATGGTATCTTAGGGTGGTTTTGATTTGCATTTCTCTGACTGCTAGAGATGGTGAGCATTTTTTCATGTACTTGTTGATTGATTGTATGTCCTCCTCTGAGAAGTGTCTGTTCAGGTCCTTGGCCTTAATATGATATCTTAATATCATAATATCTACACTCTTGAATAGTAGATCCTATATTTAATGGCTCCCCTAAATAGTCATTGGGTTCTGTAGAAGAGTCTCCAACACTTATTCACTCAGTTATCATCTTCAATGCCCATACATCATGATGGAGATCTTTATTTCCCAGAAAGGAAGAAATAATCCCTCTAATATTCCCTGTTATGGGTTGGGTTGTATACTCCATTGAAATAATGTGTTCAAGTTTAAAGGCTCAGTACCTCAAAATCTGGCCATATTTGAAGATAGGGCCTTTAAAAAGCTAATGTAAAATGAGGAAATTGGGGATAGGTGTTAATGCAACAAGACTAACATCCTTCTAAGGAGAGATGAGCACACAGGCACAAAGAGGAGACCATGTGAAGAAACAGGGAGAAGTTGGTCATCTG